TCATCTTTGGATTTCCTGATTGCTGCCAGGGGTGTTGATTGTGTATCTGAACAAGATGAAATCACTACCAATTTCAGTCCTCTCCATCTATCATGATGCTGCCTGCTGGCTTGGTGGTGAGGATACAGTCCATATTGAAGGGTACAGTCATCCATATTCTGAAGCTGACGTTCTCAGGGACCATCAAGTCAGTTCCAACACATAGTGACCTTCTGTATGTTAGAGTGAAACACCGTCCTATCCATCACGTCCTCTGTCATTGCTGTGTTTGAGCCCGTTACTGAGCCAGTGTGTCAGTCTATGTTATTGAGGGGTCTCCGCTCCTTCTAGGCCGCCCTGGTGACCAAGCACGAAGTCTCCAGGGACTGCACGCCCCCTGACATGCTCAAAGCGCTCGGGATGAAGTCTCCTCATCCTTGATTTTGAGACGGATGTGGCTGTTCTATTTCCCAGGCAGATGTGCTCATTCTTCTGGCAGTCTATGGGATAGTTTACACTGGCGAGTGTCAGATGTTTCTAGCTGATTGCCCTCCTCAGGACTCACGAGTTGTGTTAGGTAGCTGCTGATATTGTCTGGCTCTCAGCGTAAACTAGTCTTTACATGCGGCGTGCACTCTGGTCTGCTCTTTCTTCCCTCCCTTCTCAGACTGTCTCATGATTGTTGAGCTGAGATGGTGCATCTTGCTCCTGCAGAGTGGCTGGTGGATTCCAACTGCCAGAGAACTAGAGATGCGGTTTTAGTGTTTGGATATAACTCACTATGGATCACGTCACCAGAAACCCCTTTCCTTGCCTTAATTGTGCAAATTGACCTCTGTGGATTCTGGTTCATTAACCACCCTGTAGGACAGAATAGAACTGCCCCATTGGGTTTCTAAAATCGTGACGTTCATGGAAACAGATATTACATCTTTCTAGACGCTGCGTGGTTGGGGGGTTTCAGCAGCGCTAACCCCTTTGCCACCAGACTCAGGGTTCTGTTTAATATCAGCCGTTACCTGTTCAGAACACTAGAGGGCAGCAGGACCAGTCAGTAGGAAGAGCCACAACTCAAGTTGGAATGAAACTAGACTTTCTTTCCCGCTTTGTTAGCATATTTGCTGCACTTTGTGTAATTTAATGTTCTGAGTCAATCATGCATCCCATGTTTCTAAAAGAAAGGTGCATAGTGAAAACGACCCTCAGCCTCTGCCTCATGTCCATCGAGGTAATACTGATACTCCCTCTCCCAGGGTTTTTGTGAATATCTAAGCAAGAATTACTAGGAGCTGCCAAAAGAGCACTGAGTCTGTCTTGGAGGAACTGTGACCATGGTGCTTTGTAGAGGCCAGGACGGTGAAACCTGTTACATACTTTGGGCATGTTGTCAAGAGGGGCCAGTTCTTGGGAAAAAACATCATGCTGGAGGGTCAGAGGAAGAGAAGAAAACCCTCAACAAGATGGGCTGACACAGTGACTGACAGTGAACCTGAGCATGGCGCGGATCGGAGAATGGTGCAGGACAGGGCAGGGTTCAGATTTATTGTCCATAGGATTGCCATGAGTCATAGTCTCCTTGATGGCACCTAACATCAAGGAAAAGTTAAGAAAATACAAATATCTTTTATAACCCCTATGTTACCCCAAGTGTAACCTTATAGAGATACTTTGCACTCCTTGATTTAGTTCAAGTATTTCTTTAATTTTTAAAAAAATTTTATTATTTTGTGTGTGTGTACCATCAAATCAGATCTGACTGGTACAGGAGGAGATTGACCCTCCTTCTCCAGCAGACAATCTGGTGTATTTGAACTACATACCTCTGGGATTGCACTGCAGCTTCTTGCCGCTAGGCCACCAGAGCTCTCTTATTTCAAGTATTTTAAAATGTATCATAATGTATCTTTTTTCCAAATGTTTATCTATTATAAAATTTTCCATGTCATTTCCATCCCCCACCACCTTCCCTCTCTTCTTTCTTCTCTCTTTTACAGCTGCACATACTCCATGGCTATGTGTCTGAATTCCTGTATCCTCACTTATTCCTCTAGTTCCACACAGATTTAGGTCATTGCTAACCTTCTACTAGCAGCCCCAGAGCCATAATGGGTTAAGTGTTGGACTACTAACCAAAAGGTCAAGAGTTTGAATCCACAAGATGCACTGCAGAAGAAAGAAGAGGCAACCTACTTGGTTTATTAAACCTTCTGTCATTAGAGATAACATCCAAAGAGTAACCTTGAGTGCATTGTGCACATCTGCAGGTGCATCTGGGTTGGACCCCAAGGATCAGGTACACATTAGAAGAGACGCTTAAAAACAAATCTGGACACCCACAGATCACATCCCCTTCCCCTGAGACCTTCAAGGATGGGACTAGGGCATCAATCTCTTTAAGCTCAGGTGGCTCCAGTGTAGAGCCATGGCTGGGCACCTGTGACCACGAGGGTAAAGTCAAAGGCACAGGGTTACGTGGAGGGGCTGGATATTGCCACTGGCCTTACTGAGGTTGTATGGCTTACAACCCGACGCAGAGCTCTGAGCTACTGCATCTTCACAGTCTCACCAACAGCTTCGGCGTCTAAACTTGGGTTTTGCTGATCTGTCAGATTAAAAAGAAGAGAAAGCTCTCCCAGGCCTGTTGTACTTTGCATTTCTCTTACTAGAGATTGAAGGCAAGAGTCTTTCCCAGCATTTAATAGCTATGGATCTGCCCAGTTTTCTTTTTCCCATTTTAAAATTAGACATGGAATATAGACCTTAGCAAACCAGATCTTTGTGGTTTGGATTGCTGATAGTTTTCACTGCTTTATCTTTATTTTGTATGGGTGCTAGTTTTTTTCTCATGAAGAAAACCCAAACTCAGCTCCTTGCTGTTGCTAGAGAATGCCTCACAGCTGACCACCTAGCGGGCTTCTGAGAGTGTGAATCACACGGGAGGACTCAGCCCAGCTCTCTCCCACAGAGTGCTGGGGGGATTTGAACCGCCTTTAAGTCAGCAGCCCAGACCCCCAAGGAGTACGCCACCAGCGCTCCCGTAGCCGGTTTACACATCTGAATCTACTTAACTCCAAAGTTATGAAAGAAAGTCTTCATTTTTGCCCCCTGTCCCTTCAGTGATTTTTCCTTTTCACATTACAGCTTTGATCCTTTTGGAGTTGACCTTGATCTTGGGGTGAGGATCCACCTTGTTTCCCTTCCACATGCTCATGGTCTTTACCAGAGTGGGACACAGCAGCCACTTGGGCTGCATCTTGCTGGGATTTGTTTTGTTATTTGTTTATATGCAACACTTGCTCTTGCTCACGAATTGATTCGTATGGTCGTTGATTATTTTTCTTATTTTTGAGAGTTCTGAGTATTGTACCTGACTTCTAGGGTTTCCATTTATAATTTAAATTATTTAATAAACAACATTGATGACCCTTTATTGACTAGTATACGTGTTGAGGGAACTCTGGTGGTTAAGAAATTGCTCAGTCAACCTAAAGGTACATGGTTCAAATCCTCCAGTTGCTCCACAGGAGAAAGATGGGCAATTTCTTCTGGGCAATTCAGTATCTTAAAAACTGCAAGAGGAAAAACAAAACAGAACTACAAGAGGGTCAGTTCTGACGTGATGATATATAACAGCATACTTGTCTATGTAAGTTAAAGCTCGAAACTAGCCCATGGTGTTGGCACCACTGTCAGTCCCAATAGCAGAGGTAATTTGGGTGGTTCTGTGGTGCGGGTCCACTTGGAGAAGGTAACCTGGATCAGCGTGAGGCTGGCCAGAGGCATACAGCTGAGGGACAGAGCCACCTCTCTGGGGGCACATGCCTTTGCTCTGTGACTCTGCCTGTAGTGAATGAGGAGAAGGACCCATCCAGAGTCCATGAGGACAGGCGGGAAGATGATTCAGCTCTTGCTGTCCAGGGAACCCACAGGGAGGTCGACCAGCATGCTAATTAGCAGAGCAGAACAACCAACCATGCCTGCAGCTCCTGGAAGCTGGCCATCTCTTCCCCTCCTGTTCAAAAGGTCCAGTTCTTCCAATTCCTCCCCAAGGGGGGAGCACAGAGCCAAATCCTGCAGGTGGGGGGAGTGGGGGCCTCTGGGCTTGGCTCTGGTGCATTACATCACCCACTTGGGGGAGGTGTCATCTCACCCCACCAGGGGCCTGACAGCCTTGGGGTAAAGGAGGAAGGGAGGGAGGTAAGAAGAGGGGAGGGTGTAGGGAAGAAGGAGGTAGGGAGGAGAGGGAGAGGGAATACGGAAGGAAGAGGGGAAAGAGGAGGGGAGAAGGAAATAATTGGGGAGGAGGACAGAAGAGGCAGAGAAGTAGAGGGGAGGGAGAAGGGAGTAATCAGGAGGAAGAGGGAAGAGGGAGCCAGACAAGGGGAGGGAGGTGGGAACATGAGTTGGAAGAAGGAAGAAGCAAGAAAACGGAAAAGGAGGGGAGGGGGAAATAAGTAGGAGGAGGGGTGAGGAGGGAGGAAGAGGAGCTAGGGAGGAAACAGAAGGAGGAGGAAGGAGAGGCTAGAGGGGGAAGAAGGATAAGGGAGAAGGGGAATTGGGAGGGGAAGAAAGAAAGGAGGAAGAGGATTTTACAGGCGGAGAGGAGGAGCCAGAAGTGCTAACGGGAGGAAGGAGGGAGAAGGGAGGAGAAACCGGGAGGAGGGACTGGGAGGAGGAAGAAGGGCTGGGGTGGGAGGAGAGAAGGGGCGGGAGGTGGGGGCTGATAAATCCCTCTACAACCCCGCCCCCTGGAAGTTGCACGGCCTCCCGGGCTCGGATTGGCTGCGGGGAGCCCGGGCGCTCCTCCCCCGCGTCCCGCGTCCAATGGCTGGGGAGGGCGGGGCCGGCGCGCGTCCGCAATTGGGCTGTGCTCCGTGCTCGCCCCGAGGTCCGCGTCCCCGCTGTCTGCCGAGCCCCGCGTCCCCGCTGCCCGCGCTCGCGCCGAGCTCCGCGTCCCCGCCGCCCGCTCCCTTGCTCGCTCGCCAGCTCCCGGGGCAGGTCCTCTGCGGCGGGCCGAGGCCATGGCCACCAAGATCGACAAAGAGGCTTGCCGGGCTGCGTACAACCTGGTGCGCGACGACGGCTCGTCGGTCATCTGGTGAGCGCTGACCCCGGCCCCGGCCCCGGCCCCGGCCCGCGGCACCCTCACGCCCCGCGCTGACGCCTCTTCTTTTCTTCTTCCAACCCAAAGGGTGACTTTTAAGTACGACGGCGCCACCATCGTGCCCGGGGAGCAGGGAGCGGAGTACCAGGACTTCGTCCTGCAGTGCACAGGTAAGGGGGGCGCCGGGGACGGCAGTCCGAGGGGAGCCTTCGTCCTGGACCCGCGCGGTGCCTCGCTGCCTCCGCGTGCGCCCTCCAGGCAGGCGCAGGGGGCCGGGCCCGGGGGTCAGCGGGCTGGGCCGGAGGGTCAGCGGGCCGGGCCGGAGGGTCAGCGGGGCCGGGCCCGGGGGTCAGCGGGCCGGGCAAGGGCCAGCCCCTCGGCTGCCGGCTGAAAAACCCTCGGCCGCCCTTCCCTCTGCCACCGCTGCTGTCTGGTTTCCCCTGGTGTGCGGTGCAGCTCAACCTACAGCCACCTTTTGCCTCCGGCTGCTGGAGGACACTCCACGGTTTTGTTTCCTTTTCATTTTTATGGCTTTTTTTTTTTTTTAAAGACTAGAGCTGGAGACAAAGACCCACACACACACCATCGAGTCCATTTATGTGGAACCCCCAAAAGGGCAGAGCTCATCGGTGGTGTGGGCAGTCAGAAAGAACAGTCGGTCCTCCTGGGGATGAGAGTGACCGCTTGGGAGGGGATACCAGGCACCAGTGGGGGAAGGGGTCTTCTGGGAGTTGGAAGTGTTGGCCGTTCTGCTCTGGGAGGGGTACACAGGTGTGCATCTCATGAAAAACCCATCAAGCTGAGTGATTAAGATGAGTGCCATGGCACACGTGGCTCTGTGAGAGTGTGTGTGTGTGAGAGAGAGAGAGACAGGCACCCATAGGCAGGAAGAGCATGCTGTGTGGATGACTTGACCCCCTGGACACTCCCCATCATCGACAGAGGACCTCTGAAAGATGCGGCTTGGGGTCTCTAGCGTGTACACACAGCTGTCTTCAGACAAAAGACAGCACCCTACAGGTCAGGGCATGGATGCAGAGCCAGATGGCCTGAGTGTGAATCCTGGAGGGGCCACTTTCTAGCTGTGTGGTCAGAGGGGAGTTTCTTCACCTTGTAGCACCCTGGCCGCACCTCATCAGCGATCTCGGGCTCCTGTGACCAGGATTGAGGTGACTGGTGAGTAGGCACAGCACGGGCAGCCACATGGAACAAATGAGACAGACAAGACCAGGCGGTGGGGGACATATTGTGGTGCTGGCCTGCCTCCACCTCCGCCCTGCTCACAGTGTTGCTTGCTGGGCTGCTGACCAAAAGGTCAAGGGTCTGAATGTGCTAGCCGTGCCTCTGGAGAAAGGCGAGGTTCCTGGTAGGATTTACAGTCTCTGAAACCCAGTGACAGGTCCTGTGAGCTGCACCAACTCAATGGGTTTACTCCGAGGTTCTCCAACCCCCTAAGGAAGCGTCCACGTTTCATTCAGCACAGAGGAAATGTACGAAGTGTTTGCTGTGGCCTGGGTGGTACTAGGGTTTTTGTGTTTATTGAGTAAACGTTCCTACAGCTGAAATTTCCCCTGGGATCTGCTTCTAGACATTTATTTATTGCTTTATGCACAACATTGGCTTAAAATATCAGAGGTGTGAAGTCTAATAACTCAGATTTCATAGAGTGACAGGGCCCCAGTGTGGACAGGTAGCAGGACCAGGATTTGAACTCAGGCTCTGGCTCAGCCTTTGCGATGGGATCCTGCACGCCCAGCTTGGGTGCACAACCATGAGATGCAACAGGATTTGGGCTCATCAAGGAGCCATTGTAGCACAGCAGTTAAGTGCTTGGCTGATAGCTGGAAGGTCAGCAGTTCAAACCTACCTTCCCTAACTGGGATGAGAGATGGGTGGTTCCTATCAGGTTGCTATGAGTTAGACTTGCTCAGAGGCAGCAGGTTTACTTTGGGCTTTGGGAAACCAGGTGCCCTGCTCCCTGAAGTCGGTGGTGAGGAGCAGTGACCAGGTCGTGCCGTTTCTGGTGCTGGCCACCCCACCAGCGCCTTCCCTCCCCCTTCGGACTTTGTTCTGCTTCTGAAGCTATTGTCCTCTAATTGGGAGAGGGTGGCCAGCCAGGAAGAAGGTCCCAAGGACTCCGAGCAGATGTGCCTGGTCTCTGGGCGCCTGCACTGGACAGACTTCCTTGTGGTCAGGGGACATTTCCTTCCGCCCTCAGGCTCTGTGGTTTTCTGCTCAGACCTGCAGGATGAGAAGGGGAGTCGGGGACATAAAATGCTTCCCGGCTGCTGTGGAGGTTCACGAGTGGGCTGGAGGAGCTGGGAGCATCGTCTGCTTCCGCTGGAAGTCTGCCCTTCTGAGCCATCTGTCGGACAAATGTATGGACGGGTGGTGGCTCTTCTCGGAAGCTTGTTCCCTCCCCTTGCCTGAGATCGCAGCCCTGGGCTCAGGTCCTGCCATCGGCCCCTCCACAGATGAGGGCGCAGGGCCTCAGAGAGGTCAGGAGCCCTGCCTGGGCTCAAACAGCCTGGCGCTGGTACCTACAGATGGTGTGGGCTAGAGTGTGGTACCCCACCCCGTGCTCTCCCTGGGACCACACAGCCAGACAGTGAGGCAGCCCCCCGCCCAGCTCTCCCTAGGACCTTCACACAGCCAGGTGGTGAGGGAGCCCCCACCCAGCTCTCCCTGGAACCTCTGCACAGCCAGGCAGTTAGGGAGCCCCTTGCCCCCCAGCTGTCCCTGGAACCTCTGCACAGCCAGGCAGTTAGGGAGCCCCTTGCCCCCCAGCTGTCCCTGGAACCTCCACACAGCCAGGTGGTGAGGGGAGCCCCCCACCCCAGCTGTTCCTGGAAAGTAACAGTGGACTCTCGCCCATCTCCCAGCCTGCTCTCCCAGCCTCCGTGTTTTCTCAGGTGCAGCAGGTTCTGGCCTGGCGTGCTGTGTGCAGGTTAGACATGAAAGCAGTTTGTGTCTGTGGGTGAGGAGGGCTCTCTGTGGCACAGTTTCTATTAGTATGCTGGCTGGACGATGCACCCCCCCAAAAACCCCACCAGTCCCCCAAAACAAACCTTCACCTACCCACTGCCACTGAGGCAGGTACCTCACATTTCCAAGGCCATGAGTCTTAACTCGAGTAGACTGCCTCTCACCCATGGAGCAGCTGGGCCTCAAACCTCTGATCTTTTGGTTAGTAGAATGATACTTAACACACCACACTACCAGGATGGCCCCGCCCTGCCCTTGCTCAGGCTTTCTGTCTCTATCTCACAGGTGTGCAGGGGCCCCTGCTCACGACCTGAGCCCCATCTGCCCTCTCTTCTTCCCCAGGTTGCCACCTTCCTCCTCCCTGGCCTCCTCCTGTCCTCAGTGTTTTCCAGAGTAAATCTGCCTTGGACCTCTTGTTCTGGTGGTCCCCAAGCCCCAGGCCCAGCCTCTTACCCTAAAACTGTTTGCTGGAAGGCAGCCTGCCCCTGGCTGGAGCCCCAGGCCCTTTGCTCAGATGTGGTCTTTACTTGTTCTCCTGTGGCAGGCATGGGGCCAGGGGACTCACTCTTCACCAGCGTGTTGGAATTGGCCTGTAGCTGACAGTTGGGACTGAATCTCACAGGAAGATTGTCCATCCTACTCCCCAGGAGCTGCTGGTGGATTTGAACCATCAGCGGTGCCACCTTTGGGTCAGCGGTGCAGCTCCCTACGGGTGACACCATCAGCACCCCAGTTAAGTGCTATTCTGGGAGCTGAGTGCACCTGCTCCTGGCCGCCATGCCCTCAGGCTGCCCCTCCACAGCCTCTGTGGCCACGTCCAGCCTCACAGTCCTGTGCACGTGGACTGGCCAGAGCTCCTCAGATAGCAAGGTGAGAAAGCCCCTCCCCATTCAGGTGAGCTGGTTTAGGGACATGCTGAGGGGTGTCCTCACTGCAGGCCCAGCTCCCCAAACTCAGACCCCTACTACCTGCTCCCCTTCCATCCACTTCCGAGGAGCAGGGCTGGGGCTTCCCTCCACTGCCCTTCAGCCCCCCAGCCCACTGGCCATGCCTTCCTGGTGGACAGTCCCTTTCTGTCAGTAATTTGACACGTCAGCCTTTCTAGAACACATGCTTATACTCGAGCTGGCCCCTGGGGCTCTGGTCTGGACCACATGTCCATCCCTGGAGCTGGAGCGAAGCCACCGCCCACAGCAGGGGACAGAGTGGAGGAGGGGGGCTTCTCAAAGGGAAGAAAGTGGCCCTTGCAACCTTGTCTTGTTGCATCTCTATGTCAAACCTCTTTGCAGCAGCTTGTCCTACATTCGCATCCCATGGCCAGAGGAGGTCTTCCAAAGCACATCTCTCAGCAAGTTACTCCTCTGCTCCGCAACCTACTGTGGCTCCCGTCTGCCTGCTGAATGAAGCTCAGGCTGGCTGACTTTTCAGACTGACAGGTCCAGCCCAGCAGCTCCCACACCCTTTCTTATATGCCTGCGCCCCCACACTGTAACCCTGTCACTCCCACCACCCATACCCTTTATTCAGGGTGTTCCCTCCCATGGATCTCCCCCTCACCACTCAGCCTTGGAGACCTGCCCCCTAGGACCATTCACCCAGCTTCATGAGAGCCCTCCTTTTATCCAATGGTACTTTTTTAAAAAGTCTCCCAAAATGGGATCAAACTTAACATGCTGTTTTACAACTGTGCTGGCTCCTCCTCTTAACTGTACTTTCTGCACCACCTGTTAAAGTGCCTACAAAGTGTCCCTCCCTGTAAATACAACACTGTGTTACCAGTCCTGAATTGATGGGCCCCACAGAACTCTGTTGCAAGCACTTTTATCCTGGAGAGAATCCAGGCATCTGGGAATGCTGCCAGTTTTCTGCTTGTGCTGGGTTGAGAGGCAGTAATAGCCTGTGGTTCCAAGGTTGCAGGCTTTGGTGGTAGAAGCAGTGCCTGGTCTTGAACTGTGGTCCTGCAGCAGCCTCTTGCTGCAGCGCCCTTGCTGCATGACCTTGCACCTCTTTGCCGCTCTGTTTCTCACCTGTAAGGTGCAGACAGTACTTGCGTGTGGCTCAAGAGTTTGTGAGGCTAGACTGGCAGGTCGCACGTAAAGCTTGTAGCTCAGTGATTGGCACAGGGTAACCCACCCACTGCTGTCAGTCGGTCTGACTCACAGCAGCCCAGAGGTTTGCGAGGAAG